TGTCTTGAGGTGTGGCCCATAGGGGAGTGTCTGTCTGTTCAAGTTGCAGAGTCACCTTGTCTTCCATACTGTCTCCATGAGGGCCCGGCCCTGCCTGCCTGCCTATAATATTTCTATCTAATTCAGCTGCCTACAGCATTATAAAAGAGATCGTTATGTGAGTGTACCAATTTCCTCTGATGAATGTAATCGTGTACCAAGATCTGCAAATACACTAATTAAAATAAAAATTTTTTAAAAAGGAAAAGATGTTGTTTTGTTTTATTTTGTTTTCCTTGAGACAGGATCTCACTGTAAATCCCAGAATAGGCTCAGATTCGCAGTCTTCCTGCCTCAGTTTCCCCAGTGCTGGACTAGCACACATCGCCCATATGGGTTTAGAAGACAGATATTGGCCTTTCCATTTTTTTTTTTCTATCTCCTCTGAATCTTTCCTTACTTCTTTCCCTCTTATTCTACTTTCTAAATAAAGAATTTGAGATGAGATTATCCTGGATTACCCATCTGGGACCTAAATATCATCTCACATGTCCTTTAGTGAGGCAGGGGGAGGGAGATTAAACCCAGAAGAGTAAACAGTGTGAATTAACGCACAGGCAGGGGCAGTAGTGGTGGGACCACAACCCCAAGGCCCTGGCCCACAACTTGATTCCAGTACACAGTGAATTTCAGCTTTTGGGCTTCTAACTAGAGGAAGGTGAGCAATCAGTGTGTGGCAGTTGGTTGCAGTAATGATGTGATGGTTTGGGGACATTCTCAGGCAACCCAGATTGCAGGGGATGTTGACAGGGGGAGAAGCACTCTGAGGAAAGCTGCCCTTGAGAGACCAAAGGCATGGCTGAAGGGCTCTGTGGGCTCGGGAGGAAGTGGTCCAAGATGGCACTCCAGGGTGTGGGAAGGAAGTGGCCTCAATCAAGGGGACCCAGCAGGATGGGCGGAGGCAGCGTGGAGCAGGGAGACATAGCACTGTCAGGAGGAGGTGGCCCAGGACAGGAGGGGCACCCAGGGATGCAGGATGGAGACCCGTAGGTGGGAGGGTGCTGGCTCTGGGACGCCTGCTCAGTGCTGTCCCTCCCACTAAACAGGAGAGAAGGGCCGTTTCCTCTTGTGGGGTTGGACACTGCTCCTGTGCTGGGCTTCTGGAAACCATACTAAATTCCTGAGATACAGGAAATGAATGCCAGGGAGCCTCTCCCTGCCCTCAGGGGCGAATTAGGTGGGCTGGGGCCAGGCCTGTCTCTAATTCTTCCAGTGGGGTGGCTTTAGAGCAGCTGGAGCTCTGGCCTCTGGCCAGGGAGATCCCAGGTGGGTGGGGCCAGGCCTGTCCCTGATAATTCCTCCCACGGGCTGGCTTTACAGCAGCTGGACCTCCTGCCTCTGGCCACGGAGATCCCAGGTGTGGAATGGACCCAGCTGTGGCTGCTGTCACGCCAACCCAGCGCAGGACGGCGGGGAGCACACCCAGGCTGACTTCTCCCAGGAGAGGCGACTTGCTCAGGGCTCACTGGTCCGCAGTTTCTAGAGTGACACCTAGAGGTGGGAGTGGCCTTGTAGGACCAGCTCAGGGTCACCGTGGAATGGGGGAGGGGAAGTCAAGTGGCTGGCACAGCACTGTGCGGTGCCACATCTGCAGTGCAGGTGTTCTAAGCGCCAGGTTCTGGCACGATAGACAGTGAGTTCCCTCCTTGGGCAGGGGCCCATTGCAAAGGGAGTGGGCAGGGACTGGGGTCTTCGGCATCCTGTCTACCCTGGAACCTGTGGCTTGGCCCACATCCCTCCAGGATGACTATGCTGTGGGTCGCACCCGGTCAGCCCAGGGTTATTTTGCTGAATTTGTAGGTGAGCGGCGAATGCTGCTGATCTTTCGCTGTTGGCCTCTTAAGGTCTTCGGTATTAGGTCTCCTTTGAACCAAACACTGCACACTACTGAGGGTACGGATCCCGAACAGATTTACAAAAAACATTTGGGGCTCAAGCAACCCAAGAAACAAACGATAAACAGAGTGACTGCTAGTCGGGACCGCTGGAGCCAGTCTTTATTATAACAAGGCCTGTGCAGCAGCGCACGGGAACTCAGAACACTGCAGGGAGGGATTGGGGAGGTGGCTCAGTAGAATAAGCACTTCCCTGGCAAGCGCAAGGATCTGAGTTCAATCCCCGGGGGCTGCGGTGGGGGGGTGGGGTGAGGTAGGGTGGGGTGGGTGGGCGGGTGGGGTAGGGGGGTGGGGAGGACACACAACACTGCTGGGAGCCTTCCCAGAGTAAGTGGAGAATTGGCCCCGGAGTGCTGCCTATGGGGCGGTTGCAGGGCTGTGATTGGTTCAAATAGAAGCCTATGATTGGTGCAGAGCACCAGGAGCGCCTCAGCTAATCTGGGGATGATCCAATGAAGGGGCCCTGCTGAAATCAGGGAATCTTTTGGAAAGCTAGCTGCGGGAATTGGAGAGCCTGCCTTCCAGGGACCAGGGTATTTCTTCCCTTTCAAGAAGGCAACAGTAGCTTGTGAAGTGGTGGGGGCTGGGGAAGGGGCTCCATGCTGATGCTCCAGCTGCGCCCACGTGGAGTGGAGGAGAGTGACCGCTAGACAGCCAGGAGGACACGGAAGGGAGCAGTCCCAGTCCACTGTGCAGCAGCGGGCAGGGCGAGTAAAGGGATGCCAGGGAGAGGAGAGTGCCAGCACCCAGTCAAGACTTTCCCAGCCTCCAGCCTGCTGGGCTTGGGTTGGTGGGGGTGGTGGGGTTCAGGCGCTTCTTGTCTTTCTCAAGGCCAGTAAGTCTAAGACAAGCCTGGGCCAGTGCAGACAGAATGGACCTTGCGCAGATCTCTGGCCACCACCCCCAATCTGTCAGGTCCCTCTTCTGTGAGGAGAGAGGCTCCAGCTGGGCTGGGAGGCCCCACACAGATGGGGTATGAGATTCTTTTCCTTTCCTTTCTCCTCCCTCTCCTCTTTTCTCCCCTCCTCTTCCCTCCTTCCACCCTGTGTTCAAGGCTGAATCTAAGCCTTTTGCACTGAGCAACATTCTCAGCCCTTGTCTAATTTTTGACTTTGAGACAGGGTCTCAGTAAGTTGTCCAAATTAAGCTCAAACTTGCAGTCCCTCTGCCCAAGGCTCCCAGAGTTCTGGGGTGACAGATTTGTCATACCTGACCGGAACAAGGCTGCCTTTTAAGGTCATAATGAATAATGGAGGTGGAAACTGTTATAACCTGACCAAAGCGCCGCCATCCTGTTCTGTATGCGCCGTCTTAGTGAACCATGTCAGCTGCTGTAAAATGTGACTTCCTGCTTCCCAAGCCCCTCATCCCATCCTTGAGTTCCGGTATGTGCTTTGTCTCACAGAACACCTGTTTCCTGAAGCCCCCATCCCACCCTTGAGTTCCAATGTGACTTCTGTTTCCCAAGCCCACCCCAGACCTATAACCATATTTAGTCTCAACAGATGCCATGACTTTTTGAACTTCCCGAGTTGTTACACCGCCTGCTTTGTAGTTTTAAGCTTTATAAACCCCACGCTCCCCCCACCCCCTTCAGTGTGCACTTAGGCACTTTGTGCCGGTTGTTGCCGCTGGGTACCAGCTAAAATAAAGCGCTTTTTAAACTTTTGAGCCTGCCTCATTTTTGAGTTACAACAGAACCCCCCCGCCCCCAGCTGGGAGAACCAGGTAACGGGTGGTGTGAGGGTGGCAGGCTCTGGTGGACCCAGCCTTGTTCAGTTTCACGTCCTGCCTTTTCATCATCCAACCCAGGTAGTAGGTGTGCAGTGGAGGGCTGACTGGTGGTGGTGGGGTGCTGAGACTGCTTCTAACGCCTCTTCCCTTGGGGTCAGCCACTCCAGAGCCCAGCCTGGGGCCTGAGGAGCTGGTAGGCAGAGCCAATGGGGGTCATTTTAGTCCCATATAAAAGCCACCAAATCCTCAGTCCGACCTTAGTCAGGCGTTTGGCATAGTTGCCACCCTCCTAGGTGAGCCTTCTCGGGGGACACTGCACAGGGCCTTGGGTCCATTGCTCCTTCCCCAGGAAGCTGACCAGGTCCTCAGTGAGGCCCTTGGACTCCTTCAGGGACAAGTCTCAAGTTAGTAATCTCAGGGACAGTCCTGAGACCCCAGGCTTGAATCCCTGGGCTTCAGGGCCCAAGGATGTAGCCAGAGATAAAAGGTTGATCTGAGTGATTTCTGAAGGATGAGGGTGAATCCTGGCATCCCGAGACCAAGGCAACGGGTGGGCACAGCAGAGTACTGCCCCCCATCCAAGGTAGCTGCCTGCTCCCCACCAGCCCCCTTGCCAGGGCTCTGCAGGGAGCTGGGTCTGCAGCCTGAGCGCTGGCTTCTATCACAGGGTGATATCTATGGCCCGTGGAGTCTGGTGGGCTCACGGGAGAGGCCACGTTCCTGAGAGCCCCCTGGCAGCTGTCTGCTTCTACAGATGGGGTCAACTGTGCAGGATGAGAAGGGCTCAAGGCATCCCACCCTGCCCCAGGACCTGGCCTGGCCTCCTGTGGGGCCAGGGGCCAGGATCAGCAGGCTCACAGCAGGCACCTTGGGCCTTGTTATCACTGTCAGCCACTCTGTCCTTTCCTGACCTTTACCAGAACCAGGAAGCAGCGCGCAACCTGCCGGTGTGGAATGTTTTTGCTTTCTGCAAGTACCGGGAAGCCACCTCACTGTACTAACCCCCTACACCCACTGAACGCAGAGCTGTCCCAGACCTGAGCTGCTGACTGCTGACAGGGCCAGTCAGACAAAGGGAAGAGGCACAGCGAGCACTCAGAGGGAGCCTGGTCCCTGCCAACTGTGGGGTTCTGGGAATGCCCCTTCTGTCCCCCAGCACCTTCACCTCCCTCCACCTTGCACAATCCTGACCTGGAGGGAAAGTGCCCTGAACTATTGCCAACTGTTTCCGACAGAGTTGCTGGCAATTGCCTCACTCTTCCTGGATTTAGCAAAGGATGGACCAGCCTCCCCTTAGGGGGAGGCGGCAGCCAGGCGGACATAAATAGTCCCCAGGGTTGGGCTCCTCAGCCCTCTTCTTCCTCCCCCAACACCTGCTGGCCTAGCAGCTGTCCTGAGCCATGGCAGTGGCGCTCCTGTGCCTGGGCCTCACCCTGTTGGGGACCCTGCCGACCCAAGCCCAAGACTCCTCTCGGACGCTGATCCCAAGCCCACCTCTGAGCAAGGTCCCCCTGCAGCCAGACTTCCAGCATGACCAGGTAAGGGTTTTAGAAGGGCAGCTTTAGGGAGGGCCTCGTGGACAGGGACAATGGGGACAGATGGGAGCAGAGGTGAGAAGAGGGGAGGAGAGGGGAGGAAAGGGAAAGGAATTCACAGTGGTGTTGGTTGGTGGGAGCAGGACTCAGTTCAGGCCCAGTGCATGCCAGGTGGGGACATCCTCAGTCCTTCTGCGCAGATGAGAAAACTGAGGTTCAGGAAGGCTCCAGAGCCAGTTGCCAGGACCACCCACCCCTGACATCTCAGGGCTGACCCCTTCCCAGAGTCCCTCCTGGCCCTAGAGGACTCATCTCCTGCTGGCTCCTCAGGACAGGCCCCTCTCTGGTCCCTGCTCCCCAGAGGTCCCAGAAGGGACAGTGAGGGAGGGGTGGCTCTGGGGCTGTCTGTCACTGAGCATGTCACGGCCTCCTACAGTTCCAGGGAAAGTGGTACGTCATAGGCGTGGCAGGGAATGCCTTTCAGAAAGGAAGAGGAAGAGATACCATGTACACGGACACCTATGAGCTGAAAGATGACCAGAGCTTCAACGTTACTGCCACACTGCTCAGGTGAAGCCACCACTTCCTGGAGGCAGAGCAATGCCATAGCCGAGGGTGACCAAACACACACAAGCAGTAGAAATCAAGAGGACAAAGAGGGACGCTGGGCCCAGACTGGGATCCCACCGAGCCCTCGTCTAGGGCTTGCCGGGAAGGGACCTTAAAGGAACCAGCCTCTCAAGTATGCTGGTGCCTGAATATGATCTTAGCAGGCTCAGCTCAGGGAGCTGAGGCAGGAGGTGGCAAAGTGGAAGCCAGCCTGGGCAACTTAGGGAGCTCCCGCAGTGGGAGAGGTGGGGAGAACTGCAAAGGTGAGGCTGAGCAGTGCCACCCCAGGCAGGCACAGTGGGCCACGAGGCCTCAGGGCGAGAGCTGGGTTCTTCCTCCTGCAGCGAGTTCTTGCTCTGACCACTGCGTGGATTGGTGGTGGAGTGAGTGGTATAAGAAGGCAAGTTTGGGGCTTTGCTGTGGGTGTAGGGGTGGGGTGCATTCATGGGAGACGTCAGGTGTGACCCAAGTGCTGGGGCAAAACTTGGTATGGAGCGGACTGGAAGCTCAGAGAAAATGGCCAGGAGAGCTGGGAAGGAGGAGAAGCAAAATAAGAGCAGGCTCAGGGTCTGGGTTTGTGCAGGGGACAGGCTGCCCCAGGGAAGGCAGTGGAGGAGACAGGGAGGGAAGACTGAGTGGCCTCGTAGCAGGCAGAGGCTCAGAAGGGAAGGCCGAGGGCCATAGAGAGGGGTGCATGGGGGACAGGCTGTCATGGGCTGGGCTGGACTGGGGCCTCATAACCCTGACCCCACTTCGTCCAGCCCAGGGGGCCGAGATTGTATGATCTCTGTGCTCACCTCCCTACATCTGTTCCTCCCACAGGGGCCAGGTCTGCGACCACTGGATCAGAACGTTTGTCCCAGGTGACCAGCCCGGCGAGTTCACCCTGGGCAATAGATCAAGTGAGTCCTGAGTGAAGGCAACCTTGGGGTTGGAATTAGGGGTGCTGAGTCCTCCTGGAAGAGCACGGACCTCTCTGTCCTCCACATAGATGCTGTCCTATGGGGAGAAGACTCTGCGGACCAGCCATGGAGGACAGGGACAGTCCTTTCCTCTTGGCCAGGGCAAAGATGATACTTGTCTTACTCTACAGGCTACCGTTTAATACAGAGCTATGTCGTGAGAGTGACAGCCACCAACTATGACCAGTTCGCCATAGTATTTTTCAAGAAGACAACCAGAAACAGAGTGTACTTCAAGACCAACCTCTACGGTGAGTCCTCACTCCATCCTGTCAGGGACCTGACTCTGGTCACACGCTGGGGAGGGGACCCATATCCTCGAAGACCATGAATGATTTTCCAGTTTGAACTCCCCACAGGGAGGAGGTCTTTCCATAGACCCTCCATAGATAAGAGGCCTGAGGCCCCCCTTCACTCATTTGACAGTATTTATGGAGTGAACTGGGCATGGGGGGGTATAACTGTCCTCCCATACTGTGGAGGTTGAGGTAGGAGGATTGGGACTATAAGGTCATACTGAACTACATAGCTAGACCTTGTCTCAAAAATCTTAAAAAAATAAAACCATGGAGTGTCTTTCTGTTGGCCCCTCACTGTTGTGTTGGTCACAGGGCGAACCAAGGAGCTGAGCCCTGAACTGAAGCAGCGCTTTGTCAACTTTGCCAAGTCTCTGGGCCTCAGTGATGACAACATCAACTTCCTTGAACCCATCGGTAATGACCAGTGGGAAAGAAGGGGAGGGGATGTGGGGTCTGCCCAGGCCTGATGCTGCCCCACTGGAGAAAGGAGATGGGAGAGACCCAGTCCCTTCTCTAGTCACTGGGGAGGGAGTGGCTCCCACGTTGGAAGCTGTGGGTCCCCAGGGACTCTGGCCCCAAATGATTCCTGATTGTTTAGCCAAGGTCTTCCCAGATAGCAGTTTCAGGCCCAAGTTGCTCCAGCCTCAGTGCCCTGGGCCATCTACCCTTCTCCTGAGGCCACCTGATTCTAGGCCTTGGAGATGGCCTTACTATCAGGTAGCCTGACCTGATTTAAGGTTACCCCCAGATCCTCTGCAGCTGGGTATCCTGCTCTCACCCCCAGTCTTGCCTACTCTGATGTTTTTTCTCCCCACAGCGAAGTGCATTGATGGCTGAATGGGCAGTGAGTATGGCCGGGCAAGGGTCTGATGGGAGGCCAGGGCAGGCAACTGGGGGGCTCAAGACTGCCTTTGTTCCTCCCCTTCCCTGTATGCAGACCCCAGCCACTTTTACTACTGTGGTCCCCTCACATGATTCTTGTCTCTACACCCTGTTCTTCCTGTTCCTCTGGCAGCTCCATCAGCCACCTCTGGCAGCTTCCTTCAGCACTGTGCAGCCCATCCAGCCACCCCACAACCCACTCCTCTGATGGAAACCTGTTTGTTAAATAAACAGATTCCTTATCCCTGAGTTTGTGTTCCTTGTCCCCTGGGTGGTGAGATGGGAGATGGGCAAAGGGTCACTCTGACCAACATCATCACAGATGCTGCTGTCCCCAGACCCCACCCTGATGCTGGGGTGTGGAGAGAAGACACAAGGTAAAGCAGACTCCAGGCTCCTTGTCACCCTTGTTGCCATGGGCTGTCCTGAGTCGGTGCTGGGTCGAACCTCTTCATACTCACTCTTACATTGCCCGGACACTTCTAGTTCCAACCCCAGGCCTTACACACCCATTCCTCCACGAGGGCTGATTTTACCACTTCCTCAAAGCCCCACCTTGTGGTACTGCCACCTGCAGTCTCAGGTTCCAACTGCTGGGAATGCCCAGGACATACACATGCAAAACAAAGCAGGGGCCAAATCTGTCCCCAGGGGAAGGAGGCTGTGCCCACTGGCTTAGCCCTTAACTGACAGCTAGACTAGGTTGAGGGCAGGGTCAGGGAGGAGCCTGGGAACAGCAAAGACATAGGATGGGGTCGGGGCTGGACTTGTGGAGAGGACAGGGTTGGTACCATCAGAGATTGGGGCTGACAGATGGAAGAGGGGTTTCCCAGGCCAGGCTGAGCGTCCCTCTCTCATACAGGACTTCACATTTGCTCTGACTTGGGCCTAGGACTCAAGACACAGCTCATGTCATAGGTCATGTCTCACCTATACCTTGGTCATTAATCAGGATTGTGCTCAGTGCTGGCCACAGCTTGGTGGTCTCTGTGGGGACCAAGGGTGGTGGTACAGAATGGACTTCAAGGCAACATCATCTTGACCAGGATGAAAGGAGAACTCTGCTGCCAACCGGGCAGATGGGCTGGTCATGGATTTCCTCCTAGATTTCATGAAGAATGGGTCACCTTCTGCTGGCTTACCAGGTCAGCTTGCAGTGGCCATCCATAGAGTGAGGCACGCGGAGAAGGAGAAGTGCTGTCTGCACACTGTAGACTCGAAGGATCCAGTCCAAAGCCACCAGCCTGGATTCACTGTGGTGTTCCATGTGGGTTCATGGCGGGAGGCCAAAGGATCTGGAAGCCCAGCTCTTCACTTCATGACTGTGCAGGGTGCTGTGTGGCCGCCCAATAAGCACAACGAGAGGGACAGCATAAGAAAAGCCTTTCGGCACAGTGCTGCCCACCCATCTCTCCAAGTCTACTTGCTTTCGGAACTCCTCCCTTGCCTGCTAATTAAGCACATGGGCCCGGGCCTCTGGGTCTGTGATGCTTGTTAACCAGGTGCCGGAGGTGGGAAGGACAACTTGAGGTGGACACCAATGTCATTCACAGGTTCTGCTGTCCCTAGAACCCATCCTGCCATTCTGATGTTAGGGTGCAAGGAGAAGGCACAAGTCAAAAAAGACTCCAGGTTCCCCTGGCATTGTCATTGTCATGGCTGTCATGGGCCCAGACCAGGTAGAATGATGCTATATTCACTTCCTCTTTGGCTGGGGACTTCTAGTCACTATCCTGGGCCAGGCCCAGAGCTCCCTAAGAGGAGCAGAAGCGTTTACCAGGCTGCATCTCGTGCCTGTACTTGGCAATGGACAGGGATTCCCAGATAGCAGTCTCATTAAAACTGGGGGCTTCACCATAACCCTAACCCTATTCCTAGTCATCAACTGAAACTAGGATATAGGTATTTCCTTGTTGTTCTGGGGACCAAAGTTTAAATCATATTTATTGGGTTTAGACCCCTGTCCCCAGAGCTGTGGTGCCTGTGGATCACCAGATAGGAATCCCGTTCCCTCTCCTTCCAGTTTCTGGAGCATTCTCATCTGCCTTCCTTGGCTCACAGCCCCTTTGTTCTTCTTCCCTGATGCAGTGTAGCATCAACACTTCTCTGAGCCTTCTGGGTCCTTATTCTTAGGCAGTGATGGTCAGCTGCCCTACATGAGAGAACTTTCTCTGAATTTCTGTGGACACTCATTCAGTGGTCCCCACTGCTACTCTACATGGGTCAGAGAGCAGGTGGGGCTGCTCAAGGGCAAGCCTCTTACGTCCCCTAAGGCAACCTGCAAGTTCTCCTTGCCTCAAACTTTCTGTCACCACCTGGGACCTACACTGGGGCCTGATCTTTTATTGAAGTGGCTGACACTCTTGACATCAAGTAGGAGAGCAGCTCACGGCAGCAACCATGGTTCCTCCTGGCTGCCACAGCTACAGGAGTCCCAGGAAGTGAGCCCTTCTCCTGAGTCATGGGCCTGATTGTCATCTGTACCCCTGGGCAGGATCAGGGCTCTAGGTGTCACCCAGGAGAGACACTTGCTGCTGAGGTGTTGTGGTGCTTTCTCCCCTCTCATGGTCAGTACGTAGGATGGGAAGGCTATGGCTCACACCTAGATGTCTCCCTCAAGCCTCATGTACTCATGGTGGGGCTTTGGGAAGTGGCTGGATCATGTGTATGTGATGCAGGGATTAATGGTGTGATGACTGAATGAGTTCACTGACAGGGTTAATGATGGGTAGTGTGGCTAAGGGGAAGCCCCACCCTAGGTGTGGGGGCATCACCCAATAGGCTTGGAGCCTGGATGACATAAAAGAGAAAGGAAGGCTTAGCACTTGCTGTCCTCCACCTGCCTTGCCATGGACTGTTACTCTTCTGCAATGCCTCTTTGTCACACCTCCCTGCCTTAGAGGCAGATGATCTCAGATTGAAACCTCTACAAACTGAGCTCAGGTAAAACCATTCCCTAAATTTGGATGCCTGGTGTTTTGTTGCAACAATGGGGAAGGTAACTAAGCGAATGATAGTAGCTGCGTGACCTTGCCTGAACGTGTCCCTGGTTGCCAGCCACAGGAAAATGCTGCCTGCCTCAAGACCTCCACTGTCCACTGCAGTTCCAACAAGTGGAGGTGCAGCAAGTCCTTTCCTTGTGGACAGAATGACACACCAGCTCTGGGGCAACCTCACATTCCTCTCCTATCTGTGCCCGGTTATGGGGTTCTGCCTAACAGGAACTGTTTGTACCTCTGTTGTCTGGGGTTGCAATCTGAGATGATTTCTATGTGTGGACAGCTGTTGCCTCTGAGAACCCAAAGAGAAGCACTAGAGACCAGGAAGGGAAGGACAGGATTGAGTTTGTGCGCGTGCGCATACATGCGCGCGCGTGAGTGTGTGTGTGTGTGTGTGTGTGTGTGTGTGTGTGTGTGTGTGTATCTCCTGGGGCTGGGGAGATATGCATGAGGTAGGAAATGGAGCTCAGGCAATGCTTTGGACAGCTATTCCCTGAAGCCACAGGAAGGGTTCCAAAAGCCCATGCAAGATTTTCCTCAGTAGAAGCCAGGAAAATGGGGGGATGGGAGATAGTAGGGTTCCAAGTTAGCCCCACCACTCTCCCAGGCTCTTTGGAGTTTGCTTGTCCTGGCCAAGGGTCCCATCTTCCACTGCCTGTACTGTTAGAGGGGCAGGTTAGAGATTCCCTCACCCACTGACCGAGAGAGGGGCAGATCTTGGGAGGGCAGGAGAATGGTGGAGTTCGACTGGTACAGGAGGAGCCCATCCTTAAAGGCGGAATTTGATGGCTAGGTGGTGGCAGTGTCCTTGTGGATGGCAGGGTAGAGGTGGAGCTCCAGCCTCTGTGCTCCAGGCCCACGGCAGGGATGGGCCACCAGGCACCAGTTGGCCTTTGGGTTCCATCGTTTTGGTCTGGTGTTGCATCTGCCGCTTCCACCTTTGCTATGAGCTTTAGGTTTGCCTTGAGTGTTCTGTGTGGTGCAGGGTGGCCACCTGGGTGCTGCATGTGTCCCGCCACTTCCGACTTACTTTTTGTTTTGAGGCAGGGCCTTGCTAAATTGTCCAGTGGGGACTTGAACATAAATTTCCAATCCTTTTGCTTTAGCCTCCCAGAATGCTGTGATTTATAGGTGTGCACCCAGACACAGCTTCCTTTCTTCTCTTGATTTTATTTTCCTGTTTTTTTTTTTCCATAGTGAGTTAAACCCAAGGCCTTGCATGTGATAGGCAAGGGCTCTGCACTGAGCTATACTTGCGGCCAACTCCTTTTTTGAACTGTTCCTGGAATCTTTCCATTTCTTTGCAGCTTTTCTGCAGGGCACCAGTGGATGTGGGGTGGATGTGACTTAAAACAGGGTGCTGCAGTGAGTGGGGATAAGTGGCTCCCAATTACAGGGCAGGAGGTTGCTTAAAGCAGTTTGACCCAGTGCTGTCAGGAGGTGGTGGCCCAGAACAGGAAGGGGGTCAGGGATGCAGGCAGAGCCTGGGGAGGGAGGACCCATTCAGTACTGCACAGCCAAGCTGAACTCCTGTGAAAGGACACTTGGGGCTGCAGTGACTCAGGGCAGGGCAGTGACCTGGGCCCAGAGGGAAGCATCTAGTCCTGTGTCTTGTCACTTTTGTCATTCCTGTTCCTTATGTCACTACCAAGCATGCCCCCATGAGAGGCGATTCTTAGAGTCATGGGTGGGAATCTCAGGGTGAGAGCACCTGCAGACCTAGGTGTGGGCCACTTTCCTGTCCCCAGAAGCGCACAGTTCCCTCTCCACAGCTGATCTGGCCACCAAGCATGGTGACCCAGGCCCAAGGTTTTCGCAGTTGTTCTGAGCATGATCAGCTTCTGTTCCTTGGCCATCTTCCTGCCCCTCACTGGATCCCTGCTGGCCCAAGGAGCTCCCAGTGAGAGCCTCCAGATCTCACAGCCATCCAAGTATTGCTTGTTTCCCCTCCCTGGAGAGGAGGC